ATATATATATATATATATATATATATATATATATTATATATATTCATTTTGCTTTAGATATTTTTTTTCTAAATGCAACAGACATGTTACTACAATGGTTTATCAGGGACCAAATACCTTATTTTGTTTTGTCTTATTTCCTGTTGTTGATAACTGGTATTTGATAAGCACATTTGTTTTTTATTGAAAGCTAGAAGGGGGGAAATACTTGGCTAATATCACTGATAAAAGGAATACAGTAATGTTTCTTTTCTTTAAAAAGGATTTTGTGTCATGATCTTGGCACTGATTACTGGCTTAATTACTCATTCGATTCACCTGTCTCACTCCGCCTGGTTTCTCATCACTGCTCATCTGATCCACCTGCTCCTGCCTCTATTTGAGGTGCTTGCATCCAGTCATCAGGGCCAAATTACCTTGTTCTCTCTAGCCAGTGGTGAGAGTGTTTTTAGAGTTCCTTGGTGTTTCTGATTTCCTGATCCTGACCTGTTCTGCCTCTCAACCACTGAGATTGGCTGTACCAGTTTGTGTCCAGAGTCTGTCTTCAGACTCCTGAACCTCTGAGCCTGCCTATTCTGTTCTGATCTGTTTGTCTGACCTGGCTTCAGCCCCTGCATTTTCTCTGGGGCTGCAGCATCTGGGACACTGGGTGGCGCCCGCCACATTTTGTTGGAAGCCCACCGGCTAGATCCTGATTTCCTTGTTCTGTGGCTATGGACTGAACTTTTAGCCAGGCTAGTGACTCGTGTTCATGATTTTCCTCTGTTAGATTTATGTGGTCACTAACCTGTGTTTATTTTTTTCCAGAGTTTCCTGCCTCAGACACCCTAGTTGCTGCAACTGCTGAAGCACAGATCTTTGTTTTTAAATATACGCGTTTGAATAATCCCAATGTCTATCTTGCCTTGAATAATGGGTCGTCTGTTCTGTGTTTTGACATTTGACTCAGCTGTTGCTGTCATTAAATCTGTGTAACTTTATTTTTTTGTTTCCTATTAAATCTACTCATATGTATGTTGCTCATACTGACCCTGATTCTCTTCTAATACAAAGAAATGGTCACCGCCCACCCAGCCAGAACTCCAGCCCAGTGGAGGATGATGGAGGTTGAAAATCTCTGTAAACCTGATACAAGCTGAGTTTCCTTGGATAAATGTCTACATACTTTCATTTTATGATCAGTACAGATCAGAGCACTGGACTGAAGTGATCTGAGTTTGATGGGTTTTTTTTCTGGATATGAGTTAGACCTGCTTAGAAAAAGTGGAGCAAGCAACAGGAAATTATTTAACAAGTATGAACCCAATGACTTCAGCTCATCCAGGAATTATTCTGAAAGATAGTTAATTTAACATTCAATCGTCTCGCCTCTGCGCATTAATGGCTCACAATGGTTCATTATTAGTTCTTCTTAACACAGAGGTAATACAGAGAAGCATTGATCACAGTTTGGAGTAGAAAACAGGATAATTTTCTAACAAAAATACAATGAAGGGTAACTTTTAAAAATATGAAGATTCCTTGTGGTCACAGAAAAAAAACCTATCTAAAATGAAGTAGGGAAGTTCGGCTTCCTGCTCTTCCTTACACCGCTGCAGTTTCCTAAAAATAATAGCTCTGGGATTTGTGACGAGTCATGAATTATGCAAACTGGTTGTGCGACTGACACAGTTTATGTTACTCCAATACGACTGGTTGTATACACAGTCGGTGTGTGGCTAAGTTAGCAGGTGGTATCAGATTACCCTTTCACCTCTCATCTCTGGTGGCCTCACCCTGTATCACATACATCACTAAGAGGGGTGTGAAGTTGTCAGTTGAGCTGAGGCTTTAGAAACCTGAGCAGCATCACTACAGCCACCTATTGTGTTGGTGTCAAATGTGATAATATAATGACATATGAACTTACAACATATATGCCTTTTTACTTTGTACTTCAGGTTTGTTTATTATTATGATCTATCATATAAGTCATATAAAACATTAACAGTTGTGGCAGCAGTGTGATAAAAATTAGTGATGCTTTTGCAATTCTTTTGGATCACAAAACAAACAACCATTATGGATGGGTGCTTTGCATTATTCACACTCTGATCATACTTTATAGATGCAGGACAAATAATGAGACTTACATACCTTGAAAAGTCTGGATTACTGGTCCAGAAGGACTAATAAATAGTCACTTACTGGGCATGTGTAGGAGCTAAAGCAACATATATTTGATCCCATTATTATTGTTCTGCTCTTTGTGTAAACATTTAGACTAGGCACAAACTCCCATACCAACGCTTGTGCATCATGGATGCAAACTGTAATGAATTCCATTTCTGCACCATTGCCGACAAATTAGCACAGTTTAAAATGCAGCGCATTCGACACCATTCATCTGAGTCTTACATTAGCTGCATATTTTATACACATAATATCCTACATACAGTGAAATGTTATTACCCATTGAGATAAAAAAAATCACTTGCAATTTACAGGAATTGCATGTGATGACTTACAACTCCAGTCGTGATTATTCACAAGGCTCTGTGTCTGTGTTCATAGCCATTTACAGGCCTTCAGGCAATAGTTCAGTTGTGCACATGCAACAAAGCACACACATCAAGCTGGCAGTCTGCTGTTGTCTGTAAATATCTCTCCTTCCCACAGGGTCTAGTGTACATGTTTATTCAGGAACTTAGATGTTGCTGCTGTAAAATCATCTGAACAACTTTATCGATAAGCTGCTGCTGTGCTGTGTAACTTGGAAGAGACTGATTCTCTCAGATGGAAGGAAACGGGGCATGGCTTAAATGCCTTGTTTGCAAACAGCAAATATGCCTTTAACAGGATTATTGGCTCAACTGATAACTTTAGGCTTGTAGTTTTCACCTTTTGGCTCGAAGAGTAAAATTATCCAGGGGTACAACATTAAAACAATCCTAATCTAAGTGCCTGCAGTAATATCATATGCATATATGTTCAGTTGTTTAGACAGCTTTCGTTAGAAGCCAGTTTGCTTCAAAATTTTTATTTAATGTAATTCCTTGGAATGAGTTGGATGAATAAGAACTATTATTAGCTATATTCACTTTTCAAGGTTTTTATTTTTTATTTTTTTTTTTACCAGGTTCACACTATAAAGAGGAAGACTGCGGTGTGAGAGCAGCAAGAGTCAATATGTACATCTAAAATCTATAGTAAAGGATTTCAACACACCTCCTTGATTCTATCCATTGAAGAACAGAGTTAAAAATGAAAAAGATGACAGAAAGAAGCCAGTTCATTTTAACTAATTTCTACATCATCGCTGAACCTGAGGGTTGCTTTACATTATAAAGCATTTTATTCTGTATCTCTGTACTTATTCAGACTACACTAATGCTGGCTTTTACAGAGCTGAATGTTTGGTTTTGTAAACAGCCCGAGTGAAACCCCTCACTCATCATGTCATTAACTATTGATCAGTTTCCAACAGACAAATTATCCACTTTGCTGCTTCTGAGTCACCCAGACTGAGGCACATCATTAAAGGGGTGATGAGTCATTGATATTGCTGCTTAAGTGCAAGCAGCTCTAACTACAGTAAATGTGCCACATTGATGCACTGAAGACAAAATGATGAATTATTCTGCTCCACAGCCACATTTCAGTCTATCACTGCTTGATTCAACAGGTGTAACGCTTTAAACATCAAAAGCTGGTATGAAAAAAAAGAAAAAACAAAGCGTCATGCAAAGCAGGATTTTTGTCTGAGGCACGAAAGAATGATGAGACTGACCTTGTGGGCATTAAACAAACCCAACTTGACTAGTGAGAAGCTAGGAATGCATCGTGCTGACAGATATATAAGGTTGATGGTGTCACAAAGGTCACTGCAGATTAGCTCACTATTGAGGTGTTGAACTGAGCTCAGCCAGTGAACCTCCAGGGTCCTGTTAGTGCAAATGGGAAGCAGAAGATGGTCAGCAGAGCAAGATTCCTTCACATGAGCCCAGAGAAACCCGAACCTTCAACTGCAAAATGGAGAATCAATAAAGTAAGCAGCAATGGCTTCAGCCTTCCTGTCTGCTTTGGAACAAAATTATAAAACAAGAGGAAAGATGTTAAAACTGTTCACCCACTTTCTGAAAAATTTACATTAAGGTATTCAGCATTTACACAATAATAAAAGGGAAAAACTCACATACAACGTTTGAATTTGCAATAGGCCTACTTTAAAAAAAAGTTTTAGAATTAAATGTTTTCTCTTTTTTACTTTTTCCATTCGACAGACTGTATTGAAGTTTAAAGGAATTTCTGTCTGACAGCCCACAAAATATAATTCATCACTGTGAAGAAAGAAAACCGAATGCTTTCCAGGCTGTTTGAAGGAGAAAGATCTCATAAGCGTGCTCTGCCTTTATAGTCAGTTCTTTTCAGATGAATACATTTAAAAACACCTGTGGTAGCAACTGTTCTCCATAGTCCCTTTTTTAAGCTGTTTTCTTAGAGAACACCAGTGAGCAAACAGCAATACAAGAACAAAGAAAACATAACACAGGTCAGGGAAAAGGCTGTGGAGAAACAAATATCCCAAGCTAACATATCATGGACCGATGGGTAAATAGAGAAGAAGCATAAAGGCACCCGGTTAATCTGGGAGAGATGCACAGCTCAGGTGGGAGAATATGATCAGGAGACAACTTTGAGTTGTGCATTTCAGAGCTGTTCCCTAGGCTGAATAGCCGGGAGAAAGTCTCTGTTAGGCTAAAGCAATAAGAAGTACATCTTAAAGTTTATCAAATTAATACAGAAACACAATCCTTTAAACTTAATCTTTATTTTTA